GTCAAGCCTCCAGCTTCAAACAACTGTAGAGGTAAAAGACCGAAAAGACCGCGCGCTGGGACAATTCCCGTCGGCTCCCAGTAATGAACCCTATGACTCTACAAGAGACATTGAATGCATCCACTCCATGATACTTGCCCGGGAGCATTACTTTTGGCTGGAAGGCCGACTTTGGAGGCGGAGTCACTGGAAAAGGGATGTACCACTGAAGCAACTTTGCGCCTTAATTCCTTTACCGTACAACTTTCCGCCACGAAACTGGCACAGGGTTGTCTTGCATTTTCATAGGTCATCGCGGACCGCTTCTTTAGGAGTGCTCAGATCGCCATAACATGAATGTCTTTCATTCCCGAGTCAAACTCGTGACTATGAAACCTGAAGGCCGATGAGGAATGAAGAATGTCTTGGAAGTGTGAATGGGTATGGGTCGACTAATGCGAAATACGTGATATGTTTTCGTATCATACTGCCATTGTTCGAGACTGATCTGTGAACGTATTTCAGACCATTTCATCCCAAAAACTAGGCATTGTTCGCTGTTGTGGCTTTTTCGTGATCCTTGGACCAGGTTGTTAGAAGGAAACACTGTATCGTTCAATGTTTCGACCTGTTTGTAGTTTTCGAATGCCTCACTTTCCACCCCTGGAGTGCAGCTAGTCCCTGCGCTCAACTAGTTCCTTAATTAGCTAATCCGTCACCTAATGTTCTATTGGACCGAAACTGCTAGGGAAATGAAGTTTTACCTCGAAAACCTCGAGAAATGAGCACAGATCTATTCTGAAAGCATGTTAGAAGCGCTTCTGACTTCAGCGGCAAGAGACAACTAAGGAACAGCTTTCTGAGCGAAGAGTCGCTTCAAAATAACGCTTTCTCAGAGATGTTTGTTGGGGAAGGTTAACGGCAGCGAGTGGTGTTTATCCAAGACTGCTCAACCCCGATCCCTGAAGGCTTACCTGGCGCAACGATGAAAGGCTGACCTGGCCCTGAGCCTCGAAAGCATGGAAGGCAATGCTACCGGGACTGTTCTCGTAGCGGGCTCCTATGGCGTTCCCAAAACGGTCTTGGTGGCATTGCATTCGATGATCCCGGAGCTCAGGGGCAGGTAAGCCCTCCATTCTTCCGGGGATGAGGGTCAGCCAGATGATCTCAGCGCAAGTAAAGACTTGAGCAGAATCAGGGTCAGCTTATTGATCTGCTGGATGAAAGAAATCATGTGCAGACCAAATCGCATTTCAGTGCCACAAAGTTCTGCCTCGTAGTCGGATGTGTGAGTCAATGCCCATAAGGAGCCAATTCACAGCGATTGTTATTGCACTGCGGATTTTTGGTGTCTTTTTCCCAGAAAAGACAACTTATCATTCAGTAACCAAATGACTCAATAGCATCTGACTTTCAACTAAGTAATAAAAAAAAGACCCACTTATTTCGATTTCGCGGTGTTGTTGAGTCAAAAACTTGTTTTGAGTCAAGGTAGGATGGGTATGGCGTCCTTGAGGGATGCCACATCTGAATCGCTAAAGAATCGGACACAGACAAAGAAGAAGATACGTTGGAGATTATCGCCGGACCACAATATGTGTTGGATGATGAGGGCTGCCCAGAAGGACTTAGAAGGATTCTCAGCCTGCTGCGATTTTTCGTCTACTTCTACGTTGCCTTTTTCTCTTGAAAAGCGCCAGAAAGACACCATTTTGCCAGTGGAGGCATGTAAGTGAGGGAGTCTCCGGTCCAGCTTTCTTGAGTAGCCGAGCTCGTGGTACCGCTCTATCACTTCATATACCCTTGAAGTGTTCGGTCGAAACAGTTAAGCTTGTGACGGTGCATCTAGACTAGACCAACTAGGATCCCACTTTCAAATAGGTTGCAGCATCCGCGGATATTTTTTTCGAGTTCTTACTGCCTTTCGGAACACCGCACTCGACCTTGATTGCATATATCGGATTTTGAGAGGCCCTTCGCCGACTTACATACCATTTCGACTAACCGATTTATAACTTTGAGTTGATTAGACAGTATTTCGGTAAAAATCCAAAAATCACTCAATAGGTCAATAGGAAATGCTTTTTCAAAACTAATAACATACATATCATACAAAAGCAACCAGTTAAACGAATTTCCTTGAAATATAGATTTTTCGCGGTGTCGAACCACCTCAAATGGCGGCACTAACCGTTCCGACGCCTTATGATCTTCGAACCCATATTCAGTGGTTTTATGAAGGGGCACAACCAGTGGACCGGTGGTTATTATGGTGTTCGTCTCAGACTATATGGGATCCATTCAGAGACGATCTGGTCCGGCGCGTGACGAATGGCGATGATGATGCATGTTGCGTCCAACGCGGCTGATCTTCGGTGCATTGGCAGGTGCGCTAGCGTCCCTGACTTTTGATCGCCGGCAGATTTAGAAACTTTCTCTCTTTCACTCGTCCTAATCGCGATGAATCACTTGTAGTGTTCAGGATGGCGCGCTATGTCTGGCTCACCATTTGCCAAAGGGTATATTCCGTGACTGCAACTTGTAGGCAGTGGTGTTCATGAACAAAAACGACAAATAAATACAATGTTTTAGGTTGGCGATAATATGAGCAGTAATACAAAAATGAATACTCTTCTCATTAGTAACCCTCGCTTAACTCTTACTTCTTCTTCTTTTGCAATATGGAGAAGAACGGAATCCGGCGGCAACCCTCGGAGCGCTCCCTCAAACCCCTTCTTCTACCAAATCCGCGAGCATCAGAGGTGAGATGCCAAAATAAAGGAGCTGCATGATTACGATGCCCCCAAGTCACGCACAATCTTCCATGACAGTAATGCTTCAGAACGGGAGCCTACTGTTTTGAAGACGAAGTGAGGCTTGAGTGCTTATGTGAACTTGTCTTGAGGGAGCTGCGGTTCATGGAATTGCTGCTTGAAGAAGTTCAGGGTCAGTCCTTCTACAAAGCAGCTTCGAGATCTGGAGCGAATTTTCGATCAAAGGGGGAAATAGTCCGCACAGTTTGCCCCCAACATGGCAATGCAGCGCACGCCCTCCGAAGAAAGGTCGAGCCGAAGCCAACGCTATACAGGTAAAGGGTTCTCTCTTTGCGCCGGTGTGTCCATTGCTCTATCCCATTGCAGGTTGCCTTCTGTACTACGCGCTATATGAACGAGAAAACCTTCACGGCTCTAGCTCAGATCCTAGCTGAGTCCGAAGAGATAACGTCTAACTGTGCATCGCTCCTTCATTGTGAAAAGATAACGTCTATAAAATGCTGAAAAATTAACAAGAACCCCACTGTAACAATGCTGTCCTTATACCCTTCCTATAAAAAGAAAGCCTAATTAAAAATATGTCAGAGCTTTCCCGCCAACCTGATACAAAATAGCGTAAGTGCGATTAACCATAGCCAAAATGGTAGAGAAGAGCAAAAAAGAAATCCACATTTTGTTGCCTTCCTCATTACAGATGATCAACCGTATTATAGGAGGGACGAAGAGGATCGTGATTTGCCGCTCCGCCGCGCGCAGCGATCGGCGCGGCGTTTTCTTAACTCGTGTTAACCTGTCGACTGGAGCACCGGACTTCATGTAGACCCCGTCATCATAGACATTCATGACTATTTTCGGTTCTGAATTGCCTGTTGTCGCCATCTACGACCTGGAACCATCGTCATTTGCGGGCGCGACGTCGCACGCGACGCTCATCAGCGCGGCGAATTACGATCCTCTTGTCACATACCCGTATTATCACTACCTACATTTGAGGCAACATAAGCGGTGCCAGTGTTAAGGCGATAACTTATTGCCCGTTTCCGTTTTTCAGTTTCGCAGCGGAAAGGGGCAAATTTCTCAGGAGATTGTAGATGCCCACGTTGAGGGAGAACAAGGACTTCGGCAGCAATACCCCACCATATCAGAAATTAGTTGGCCAGAAGTTACTTGTTTCGTGAGCTAAAGAATCCATTAAGCAATCGATATTACATAAAACAAAGTTGTGCTGTAACATCAGTTTTCGTCAAAAACGTCACGTCAAAAATTATCTTGCCTATTGCGAGCGTAAGTTGTTGAATCGTAAAGACTCCTCTTTTTTTTCAAGTACCTGAAAGAGAAGCCTTAACGCCGCAACCAAACCCACACGCATTGTGATAATGAGATGCCGACCCTCACGTCCGATAGGGAAATGGTCCACAGCTCTGTGCATCATTCGCAAGTGTATTTGCCGCAAACCCGCCAACATTATGACCAGTCCACAGGCGCCGTTCATAGGCGGATCTACAGCGAGCTCAATGTGTTCCCGGAATTCCGGCGTGGCAACCCCAAGGAAGTGCTAAGATTATGAAAAAATTGAAAGCCTCCTCCTCCTTACCTATAATGGCATACCACAAACCTTTTGAAAGTTTGTTTTGCTCTTCGCGCTCCTGTAACATACCATCTTAACTCCTCCTGCTAGCATTTCGGTAAAGTGCCTAGTATTTGAAGGATGCTCCTGTAAACCCCAATGCAAGAATGCCTTGCTACAAGGTCTCGCAATTCAGGCCTATAAGCATTTGCCGCCGTCGGAAATCATGAAAAGATGGTAAAAACTAAGACTGAGTGCTTCAATCAAAGAGGGGGTCATACCATCAGAGCAACACGGTTTTTTGCCGGGAGCATCAACTGTAACTCTCATGTGTGATTCAATGTACGACTGGTTGACGGGCGTCAACAGTGGCAAGTCGATTGACATAATATATTTTGATTTGACAGGCAAGCGTTCGACATAAGTTGGCCACGATAATGGAGTAGAAGCGTTATCAGGGATGATACAGGGAGACTAACTTAGAATGCGCTAAATCGTATCTCTGGGATAAGGTATATGACGGTTAGGGTTGGCAATCGCAGTTACATATTTCTGATCGCCATTTATTCAAGTGGTGTGCCACAAGGAGGAGCACTTTCACCATTACTGTTCTTGATTTACACATTGGACCTGCCGAAAATTCTCAAGGTTCATCCCAGTATTGAGGTTAAAATGTTTGCTGATGATATCAGAATCTATTGTGTTTACGACAGTCATGAGCAACCAGTAAGACACAAAATGCTAAGCTTATCCATCGAGAAGATGGTGAGTTGGTCCACAGACTGGGAACTCCCCCTCAATTTGGAAAAAACTGTACATCTCCATCTGGGACCCTGCCCACCCATCCCGTATCAAGTTGATGGAACATTTATAAAGTTAGAATGCTCTGTCAAGGACCTGGGGATTCTTTTTGATGTACGGCTGGCATTTGATGAGCACATTGAGATGGTCGTGAAAAAGGCCATTAGGTGTCTTTTCCTGGTATTAAGGAATGTGCAATGTAACGACCCCAGTCTCCTTGTCAGGCTGTACAACATTTACATCCGGCCTCATCTAGAGTATGGATCCATTGTGTGGAGTCCCTGGATGAAAAAACACGAGAACAGGTTGGAAAGAGTGCAAAAAACGTTTACAAGGCTCGCGTTCTACAGGTGTTTTCCTAATTCGGAATACCCCCAGGCACTTCCAGTCTACCAAGATCGCCTGAGAGCGCTGAATATGAGGAGTCTGAAATACCGAAGAATTTTTAGCGACCTTGTATTCGCTTTTCGCATTTTAAGAGAGAGATAAAATTGGCAGCCAGCAAATACTGGATTTTCCGACCGTACAGGAGGGTTGAGTGTGGAATCACAATCCATTACAAGAAATTAGAGCGACATCGTTTTAATGTTGTGTTTCATTCTTTCTTTTTCCGAGCGGCCAGGTGGTTGCGCATGCTACCCCATGATATGCTTTCCTGTAGTAATTCGAAGGAGTTCAAAGCACGTTTGAAAAAATCTGATATTTTCAGAATTCTGAAAGTTGAGGATGTACGGTAGCAAGATAGTAGTGGAATTTTGTTTTGCCATACTCTCCGAGCTCCTATCAGTCGATCTGGACTACTCTGGGACCTACTTCTGTGTTTCCGGGACTATGTTCTGCTCATTGTTAACACCGAAATTTTGCTAGTTAGGTAGTGAATTCTCCAGTTGGGAGGCAACGAAGTATTCTAATAGTTTCGCCCTGAGCTTATCACTTGAGGAGATAGTTCAATAATGGACCTAATAGAT